TTCTTTTCCACCCTCGCCATAATTTACCACCAGATGTCAGGGTAGAGCTCATCCTGACTCTGCTTACATCAGTCCAGATATAAGCCTGCAGTAGCAGGAAATAAAGACTTCTCTACAGCCATCCCTAGGCTCTGGTATTTTCTCATAAAGGAAATAAAAATGTGTCCCAGTATTGATGTTTTCCATTCCAACTGTAAGAAACATATTTTCACCATAGCAGTCTCCAAAGACCCTGAGAAGAAGAAATGCTGGCTCACTCTAAGGTTGCTGGCTCACTCACTCTCTCCCATTGTTTGTATAATCGATGTTGTGTGCATAGTTACAACAGCGATAGGTTGTACTGAATGAGTGATAATTGCAACAGATACATTTAGGAAAACCCAGGAAGGAGCCTTTAAGATTAAGTAATAAGAGAACTAAAGCACTGGTATTGGAAAGAGCAGTATATCTAGGCAGTTATAATTAGAGATGCATTAACTGGTACAAATAAAATAATCATTTTACCCAAAACTTAAACTAAATGCAACCCTGACTCTTTTGTGTTGAAAATGTGTAGTTAACTAGTTGCCTATTAATCTAGGTACCTACATGACTATCTAGGTCCCCCCTACTTTCTTTAAATGTTCAACCACTAGAACTTGTCTGATATTTTCCCTGAATGTGAATCCTGGTTTGAGGGTGAGGTTCACTAACAGAGATTAAAATGCATTAATAGTGTATGTAAGCCAAATGTATAGTTATTTATAAACAACATCGATTACATTTCAAATGTAATCGATCAGAAAATGAGGAGTTTTAAAAACCCATTTTCCCCTTTTCTTGTCATTGTCAATGCTCCATTGGTGCCTTAAATAATTTCATTGGTAATCATTCAGTTTAATATATAGCTGCTCCATCTAGTGGCTACAGTGCTGTTCTTTCCAGCAAACAAGGAGCCCACCACCAGGTCTTCTGTTTCAACTTCGTTTCGGAAAAGGATTCCACCTCCACAAAATAGCTATATACCGAGCTACAGTGTAGCTAAAGATCCAGGTTATCCCCTCCTGGAGAGGCATCTATGGAGGGGGCTTGAGGGTTTCAGAAACTCTGAGATTCACCTTTCTGAGTTTCTTTGAAATGTGCCTCTGCGGTTGATGCACTGGGAGTTCAGCATCCCGAACCCAGGGATCGGCAAGGGAAGGAATCCCCAGGTAGGGGCAGGAAGCAGCATTAACGTGGGTGCTGTCCCTTGCCCACAGAAAGCTGCCCCTGGCCTCCGCACGCTGGGGCCTGCGGCGGATGCTGTCTCCACTTGAGACATTTTGCCGCACGTTCTCCCTGTTGCGCACACGGGCTCTGCTCTCCTGGCGGGGGCCGTGCCGGGAGACTGACAGCCCAGGCTGGCTGCCCCCAGAGTGGTAAGCGCTGTGCGCCTGAGATGCTCGCAGACGGCGCGGCGCTCTGGGGGAGCGGACCCGGCGTTTGCACTGAGGGGAACCTGCCCTGGGTGCAGCCGGGAGAGTCCGGGGGTCCGCCGTGTGGGCACCGCGCGCGGGGCCTTGCGCTCAGTGTCGGTGTCACTCGTCATGCGCTGCTGGGAGGCAGGCAGGTAGGCTGGGCGGGGAAGGGGAAGCGGATGCACCGCCACAGCTACCAAACTACAACTCCCAGCATGCCTTGAGCGGAGCCGGGCCGGAGGCGCACGCGCACTGCTGCAGCCCCCCAGGCTGCTGGTGCCACGTGGTTGCAGCATGGCTGCTGTGTTTGCGGATCTGAACGTCCCGGGCGCGCCGGAGAGGAAGTCGCTGCAGAGTTTGCTAGAGGCCGCCGCGCACCGTGAGTAGCGACCTCCCGGGGCGCTGGGCGGGGTCCGCGCAGTTCAACCAGCCTGTCAGGCCCGGGGCGGGGCTCGGGGTGGGTAGCACCGGGCACCTCTGAGCCCACGGGGGCGGTTCTGACTCCTGCTGCAAGAGCCGGACTGCTGGGCGCTCTCCGGCGGCAGCGTGCGTGCGAGGAATGCCCCCTTCCCTAGGCGCTGGGCTGTTGGCCCGCCCTGCGGGGTGGAGCCGGGGTGCGGAGAGTGCGGCTGTTCCGCCTTCTCCCCCTTGTTGGTAGTAAGCAGTAGCCTTTGTGCTGGTAGCACCAGCCTCATTGGTTGCAGTGACTGTCTCGGGATTTGGGTGCGGAATCGTCCTGCCAACTCCGCCTGGTTCCCAAAGCCTGGGACGTTCGTTTGAAACTGTGCCATCCACCTGTGCTCTCTGCACTGCGGGGACCTGCTCTAGACTCAGAGAACATGGTTTTCCAGTCTCCTTTTCGACTAGATCCCCAGACTGAAACTAAATGTGATTGGGGTGTGTGTGTGTTAAATCTCCTAATTTGGAAGCCAACCTCATGCTACAGTTTTTGTGTGTCTGTTCGTGTTTGTCCTAGCACCGTTGGTAATGCCGTGTTTAGCAAACAAACTGCATCGTGGGGCATTCTTAACAAAATAAGTTTTACTGGCCAGTTTTAAGTCACTCTGTTTGCATTACATCATGCAATACATTTTAACTTCTGTGTATTGAGGCTGGAAAGATAACATGGCTAACGCTTATGATAGGTCCAATGAATAAGCTAGTGTACGTGTTCCCTTTCTATCGTGGCAGATGTGCACTATTGCTAGTAAAACTTCACTGTAATACTAGCCACTCTGGTAGTCGGGAATTTTTGCTATGTAGCTTCCCCAGCTCAGGCTGGAGCCCCAGGGAGGGGGAGGGTCTCATTGGGTTTCAGAGCCCGAGCTGGAGCTGGATCCTGAATGTTTACACTGCTATTTTTTAGCCCTGCAGCAGGAGCCTGAGTCAGTTGACCTGGCTCTGATTGTATGTCTACACCACACAATTAAAAATATGTGGCTGGCTGTGCCAGCTGACTCAGACTCCGGCTAAGGGGCTCTTTAATTGTGGTGTTGTAGACATTCAGGCTCAGGCTGGATCCTAGAACCCTGTGAGGTGGGAGGCTCCCAAGGCTCAGGAAGCCTGAGACCCATGTCTACACTGCAATTAAACAGCCCCTTAGCCTGAGCCCCGTGAGTCCAAGGTCATGTCTACACTAGCACTTACGTCAGCAAAATTTTTATCGCTTAGGGGTGTGAAAAAAACCCACCCGAGTGACATAAGTTTTGCCAGCATAAGCACTCATGTCCACTGCACTATGTTGGCGGGAGACGCTCTCCAGCTGACATAGGTACAATTGACCTCGTTTTATGATGTAGACGGGAGAGCGCTCTCCTGTCAGCATAACGTGCCTACATGAGCAATCTTACAGCGGCACAGCCATGTAAGTGTAGACATGGCCCAAGTCAGCTGGCCCAGGTGAGCTGTAGGTGTCTAATTGTAGTGTAGACATACCCTAAGACTCTCTGCAACGGGGTGTTTTTGTGGGGTTATTTTTTTTCTTTCTTTCTGAGTAGACGTATACCTTCAGGCACTGGTCCTATAAGCAATTGTGCATGTGCTCTAACATTAAGGAGCAAGTAGTCCCATTGAATTTATGGGATTACTTGTGTTTTTACAATTCAGCATTTGCATAATTGTTTGCAGGACTGGGACCCTAATTCTTCATGTATTGAAAGGGGGGGAATTTTTAACGTTAAGGCATCATGTTTCCTACTGTTTTTCTGTTTTCAGAAATCTCAAATTATTACACAAAGAAACCTTTCAGATTTGTAAATGATGTGTGGAGTTTAATTGCTAATCTTAAATCTCTCTATTCTGATTAATTTCTATTAAATAGTAAATTGGACAAAACAAACTTACCATATGTTTACCTTTTCTAGTGGGATATTCAACTGTTGCTATTAACCATGTCATTGATTTCAAAGAAAAGAAACAGGTAGGGCTCTGTTTCAATATTTATTCTTGTTTTCTTTATTTGTACTTAGTAATAAGTTCATAACTATGCATACATCTAGATGAGTGATCTAAGAAGGAAGCAAGTAGGGAATTACAGGATCCTTCAGTACATGACTAAACTATCATTTTGTAACCCCAGCTATCTAGAAGTTGTACAGTTTGGGCCTAAATTTTTTATCCCCCATGTTTAATACATTTTAACCGTGGTGTTTTTGTTTGTTTTTTTTGTTTCAGGAGATTGTCAAACCAATATCTCCTTCAGAACTGTTTCCATCTTTGCCTATTGTACAGGTATGTTAGAGTTTAAATTCCACCTGCACATGATAGTTAAGGATACGATTTAATCACAGAGGTCAGGCACAGATTCTGTGACTTTACTGGACCTCCATGACTTTGGCTTCAGGCAGTCAGGACTGTGCTCACCCCTCCTTTCCCCCTGCAGCTTCAGCCGGGGCTAGGGCCATGCGCGTCTCTTCCCCTCCCCCTCCCCCCCGTATCTTTGGGCCAGGACTGTGCCCGCCTTCCCCCATGGCTTTGGTTGGTGCTGGCTCCGCTGCTGTGTGCGCCCGCCCCACGGCTTTGGCAGTGTCTGGAGCCAAGACTGTGCCCCTCCAGTGGGGCTGGGGCTGTCAATCCCTCCTCCCCCATGAGGATCCAGGTGTCATTCCTTCCCTCAGCCCTCTCTCCCCCTGTTATTTTTAGTAAAAGTCATGGACAGGTCTGGGCTCCCATGAATTTTTGTTTATTGCCCACGACCTGCCCATGACTTCTACTAAAAATAACTGTGACAAAATCTTAACTAAGGCTGTGGATTAATCGCGATTAACTCAAAAAAATTAATCGTGATTGAATCACACAGTTAAACAATAAAATACCAAATGAAATGTATTAAATATTTGTGGATGTTTTTCCGCATTTTCAAATATATTGATTTAAATTACAACACAGAATACAAAGTGGACAGTGCTCATTTTATATTATTTTTATTACAAATTTTTGCACTGTAAAATGATAAACAAAAGAAATAGTATTTTTCAGTTCACCTCATACAAGTACTGTAATGCAATCTCTTTATCATGAAAGTGCAACTTACAAATGTAGGGTTTTTTGTTACATAACTGCACTCAAAAACAAAACTATATAAAATGTTAGAGCCTACAAGTCCACTCAGTCCTACTTCATGTTCAGATAATGGCTAAGAGAAACAAGTTTGTTTACATTTACGGGAGATAATCTGCCCACTTCTTAATTACAGTGTCACCTGAAAGTGAGAACAAGCATTTGCATGGCATTGTTGTTGCTGGCATGGCAAGATATTTGTGTGCCAGATGCACTAAAGATTCATATGCCTCTTAATGCTTCGGACGTCATTCCAGAGGACATGCTTCCATGCTGATGACGCTTGTTAAAAAAATGTGTTAATTAAAATTGTGACTGAGCTTCTTGGGGGAGAATTGTATGTCTCCTGCTCTGTTTTACCCACATTCTTTCATATATTTCATGCTATAGCAATCTCGGATGATGATCCAGCACATGTTGTTCATTTTAAGAACACTTTTACTGCAAATTTGACAAATGCAAAGAAAGTACCAACGTGAGATTTCTAAAGATAGCTACAGCACTCGACCCAAGATTTAAGAATCTGAAGTGCCTTCCAAAATCTGAGAGGGATAGGTGTGGAGCAAGCTTTCAGAAGTCTTAAAAGAGCAACCCTTTGATGCAGAAACTACAGAACCCAAAGCACCAAAAAAGAAAATCAATTTTCTGCTGGTGGCATCTGAATCAGATAATGAAAATGAACATGTGTCGATCCACACTGCTTTGGATCATTATTGTGCAGAACCCGTCATCAGCATGGACACCTGTCCTCAGGACTGGTGGTTGAAGCATCGAGGGACATATGAATTTTTAGCGCATCTGGCACATAAATATCTTGTCACGCCAGCTACAACAGTGCCATGCAAACACCTATTCTCACTTTCAGGTGACATTGTAAACGAGAAGTGGGCAGCATTATCTTCTGCAAACTGCAAGACACCTCTACCTCGATATAACACTGTCCTCGGGAGCCAAAAAAATCTTACCGCATTATAGGTGAAACCGCGTTATATCAAACTTGCTTTAATCCACCGGAGTGCGCAGCCCCGCCCCTCCCCCCCCGGAGCACTGCTTTACCGCGTTATATCAGAATTCATGTTATATCAGGTCATGTTATATCAGGGTAGAGGTGTATATATAAAAATGGACTTCAATTTTAAAACTGCATTTGTAGTGCCCTTATTCTTTGATTAGAGAACAGTAGCGGTAACACAATAAAATGTGTTTTTACTCTGCTGTGTTGATTTTTTTGTTCATTTGTTTAAAGCAAAAACAGATGTCAAAGAAATACAAGAAAATCCACTGTTTCTGAAGAGCAGAAATGTACCAAAAAAATACAGAAGCAAAGCATTAAAATTAGAAAGACAAAAATATGAAGAGTATATTTAGAAGTGATCAGAAAATTGGTATAGTCAAAAATATAAAGAAAACATCATTCTCTATATATAATAATAGGCATGAAAATCTATTAGCTAGGTTTTTGCTTTGTACTTTCGTCAACAGTCTCTTTGATGGTTTATTTTGCTTACAGGGAAAATCCAAACCAATTAAAATTGTAACCAGACTAACGCTTGTAGTTTCTGATCCTTCTCACTGCAATGTATTGGTAAGTATTTTAAAATGTATTTATTTTGTAAGTTGTATTTTCTCTTCATAGTAAAATGTTATTTTTGAAATGTTATGGATTTCACAAAAAATACTGCACTAATTTGCTGAGCTATAATGTCTCCTTACGATCACATCACTCTCTGAAGATCTCACTTTATAAAACTGGGATGTGCTCTGCACTGGTGATTTACTAATGGTGTAACATGCTGCCATGAGAAATCAGAGTTCTGTTCCCATGCCTGAAGGCTTCAAGTAAAGTGCTGCTACCAACCCATGTGATAAGGTGGGGGAAGAAGTGTTAAAACATGAAATCATCACCCCATCTCTAGAACTTGAGTTCAGGTTTTAAAATATGACAATAGAGCTGATACTGCATTTGTTTGTTTATTTTTTTTTAAACTTGAACTCCAGCATAACTATCCCTCTCCCCTCCTCCCTCCTGAGGCTCCAGGGAGTTTTGCTGGGTGTTCTAATAACTTGGGCGAGGGGAGGACTTACATTTTCTAAGTGATAAAGTAGGACATGTGTGTGGCTTACAAGGCAAACAGTCGCTACTGCTTTACTTATTGTGTAGAATGAGCGCCAAAATAATGACCGTGGTGAAACACCGTCAGCAGATAGGGCTGCTAATAGAGCCTTAATAGGAGTAGTTTGGTTTTACAACTCACAATTGGAGAAGCGTGGCTTCTATTAGTTGTTGTTTTGGCAATTTTCATAGTACATACCTTTAGCATCTTCCATAAATTAGCGTGATTCTTTTTTCCTTTTTGTCAGAGATCAACATCTACAAATATAAGATTGTATGACATCATAGCAGTGTTTCCAAAGACAGAGAAACTGTTTCACGTAAGTATTAAATACACATATATATATCCTCTCTCGACGCATCTGAGAATCCATTTGTGATCGTAGCTGCCAATGCTGGAATAATGTTTAGTGCTTTGAGTTGGATTAGGCAAGTGTTCTGCTTGGATTTCATCTCAAACTTGATAGAGTGCAAGGCAGAAAAAGCACACCACGTGGCAGTGAGAGAAAAACATCCATTACCCATGTTAAGCTGTCAGTGTTTAGAAAGTTTGTCTCAAACCATTTGACTTCCTAAATTTGAACACCTTCCTCAGCTCATTAGCTCTTTGGCTTAGTAGGAATTGTTTTAGAACTCTGTTGAAATGATGCTTTGTGATGACTGAAGGAATGTAGGATTTAAATGTTTGAGCAGTGGGGTTTTGTGGGTGACTTTCTCTCACTGACCTACCACCCATCCCCCACAAAAAAAGTCTGAGATCTCTTACTGAAAAGCCATATGGAAATAGCAGCCAATCATTTTGTAAAAAAAAACAAAATAGGGTGGAGGAGGGTAGGGCAGGACACAGCTTTGCTTCTATAGTCTCTGCACATGTAGAATGTATTTTCCTAAATCAAATGTTTCCATTTAAAAAAAAAAAGTCTCCCTTGGCATTGAGACGGGCTTTTGCCAAATGTAGGAGGAGAAAGCTTTGCTCTTGCAAAACCATGGTTTTTCTTACAAAATATTTGTGTGCAGTTTTCCCTTCTGCTGCCAAGGGCAGCACTGAACCTGCAGGAAGTGAAGTAAACCCAGGCAAAAGCATTTAAGAAGAGAAAAATATTTAAGGGAAAGCTGTAGTTTTCTTGAACACAATAGTGTGATAGTTCAAAACAAACTTTCAGGTTTACCCTGTTCCCTGTTGGTAAAGATTCAGTCTCTGAATGTGTTGCTACACGGAAATCTTCTTATAGTTTAAACAGATGTTTTGGACACTACAAACTATCACAGTGAAAGGGCTCCACACCCTACTCCTGAGAAAGATTCACTTTTAGTGGTTTAATCTTTCTGTGATATATATTCAGGAACCAGTTAAATAAGGCTTGCTTCTTATATTGGTTATCACTCAAAATACAGCTATTTTATACCCTTTAAAATTTGTATTCTTATTCCTGTCCACTTATAAAGGCAGTTTGGTGTGTTTGAATATGATCTAATGTGGTTCACTTTTTGTAGTTGATAGAGAAAATTTGTTCTACTCTTATCCAGTAAGGTGACATTCACCCTAGCTATCGTCTCTCACTGAGTATCAAGAGGTTTTCTCCTGCCTCCAATTGGCTCATAATGCCAGCCTCCATCTCCCTTTTGTTTAATTTTCAGACAAGCACTTTCGTGGGTTTTTTCCCTCCATCTCCTCAGGCTTGAGAGGAGCTCCCTGTAAACATCTGCAAAACCACCTCATTACCTTCCTCAAAATCCCCCCTAAAAACTCACCTGTGCTGTGAAGCCTACAGAAAACTTGACAATGGTTAGGCCACTAGTGACCTGAAATCACAGCCTATCATGCTGACCAATAGTGCTCATTGTTTCCTTGTCCTACTCCATCTGTCTGCATGTATCCATCTGTTGTCTGTTGTTACACTCTACTTAGAGTGTAAACTCTCTGAGGCAGGGATTGTCTTTGTTTGTACAGCACCTAGCATGGTGAGGTTCTGGTCCATGATGAGGGCTCCTAGGCACTACGGTAATACAAATAATTAATAGTAGAAATTACATTTTCCCCTCGCAGTACCATATCTTTTCAGAGTCATTCTGTCAGACAGGAGAAGGTTCGGCTTCTTGATCAACTGCGTTTTCTGGCCAACATGTTTTTAAGCATTTTACAGTTGCTGTGGAAATACACTTAATGTGCAATCAGACTCCGGTGGTTATTGAGCATTCCACTGCACACTAAGTTGTACTGTTTCTTTGTCAATATATCTTGAACAAACACCACGGCCAGAAAACTATTGGTTCTAAAGCACTATCTAATGCAAAGTGGTTTCTGGATTAACTAGTCAGGCAGTAGACATTCGCTACCTCCCTGTGTCTCGTATACAAGGTGTTAAAATGTGCGATATTTGCGTAGCTGGTGTGAGTGCCCCAATCAGGCTGACGGTCTGACACAACCTGTCATTTATCAAAATGTTTTGCACACATAAAATTGTCATGTGGATTTATTGATTGAAAACTCATTAGGCTTCTCTACTAACTGCGGAATTCCAAGCATGAGTAGCAAGTAACCGTGTGCTTTTGCTAGTCTGACTGACAGTGAACAAACTGATCTTTAACGTGGGAGATGATGGACTACCAACTAGCATACTGAATCTCTTGGTGGGAATGCTAGTATTCACTTTCAAAGGAAGTCTGCCAACTTGGAATGGAGTCTATTTAAAAAAATGGCTGAAAACTATTTTCTGTTACTACAGCTGCCACTGTATGCTCCTGCCTCCCCAGCCTATTTTTGTAATTTAATCATCAAACTTCCCTGACTTTAAAAAAAAAAAAAAAATTTAACCTCTGCCTTGTGAAAGACTCGTATGTACAGGAAACTGACAGAGGTAGAATTTGACTATATAAAGTAAACACACTGAAAGATTTTTTTTCTAATCTCTTTCAGCCATAGTAATCTTAAATCTTACTTGTAACAACTGTAGTTTAAGAAAACTACCATTTGATTGATTTTTCTTTTAAATTAATGTTCCTCTTATTGAATAGTTTTCTAAGGTGCCTTAGACTGTCTTCCTCTTTCTGTTTTTAGGTTTTGAAAGATGCAAATGACATCAGAAAAAATCTGCAAGAAGGGAGATATAGGTTAGGAAAAACTTTCTAACTTTAAGGGTAGTTAACCACTGGAACCAATTACTTAGGGAGGTTGTGGAATCTCTATCCATCATTGGAGGTTAAGAACAGGTTAGGCAAACACCTGTGAGGGCTGGTCCAGATCAGTGGTTTTCAAAGTTTTTAGGCTGCGTACTCCTGTCCAAATAATGTAGTCTATCATGTACTCCCATCTGAGATAGGCAGAAGCAATGTGTGCAGGGGCGGGGGGTTCTGCCTTCCATTTAGCAACAGCTTCTAGAGGTTTTCAAACTGTGTGCCCCCCTGGGGGTTCAAAGGAACGCTCAGGATGGGGATGGTAGTGGCACTTCTCAAAGTTTTTGAGCTGAAACCCCCTCCCCCCTTGAGTTACAGTTTTTGGTTGCAACCTTCCCCCCCCCCCCCAACCAGACGGGCTGGGTGGACCTATGAGGTGAGGTAGAGCTTCCTCCCCAAGCCCTGCCCCTGTGAACATTCCTCCTTGTCCCTCTAGGGCAGGGGTGGGCAAACTTGGCCCGAGGGCCACATCGGGGAATAGAAATTGTATGGCGGGCCATGAATGCTCACGAAATTGGGGTTGGGGTGCGGGAAGGGGTGAGGGCTCTGGGGTGGGGCTGGGGATAAGGAGTTTGGTGTGTAGGAGGGTGCTCTGGGATGGGACCGAGGGATTCAGAGAGCAGGAGGGGGATCAGGGATGGGGCAGAGATGCAGCCCCCAACCCAGCACCCCAACCGGAGCACCGGAGTGGGGCCGAGCCGCGTGGTGCCGCCCCCGACCCAGCACCCCGGCTGGAGCGCCAGAGTGGGACAAGCCCCAGACCTCGCTCCTCAGGGTCGCGGGCCGGCTTAAAACGGCTCGCGGGCTGTAGTGTGCCCACCCCTGCTCTAAGGGGGCACATCCCAGTGTTTGAAAACTTCTGATTCTGAGTCACACAGCAGAAAGGAAATTTGCACCAGTGCGGCTTCAGTTTTAATTGAATGGAGATTAAACATTGATTAGATTGCCAAGTCTTACTAAATAAAGTGCGTTGTCCACCGTTAGAGGATTTTTCTCGCCTACCCCCCATGAAAACTCGTGTGCTCCTAGGGGTATGTGTACCCCAATTTGATAACCACTGGTCTAGATAATCCTTAGTCCTACATCAATGCAGGGGATTGGACTAGATCATCTATCAAGGTCCCTTCCAGTCCTATGATTCTATTTATTTTATCCTAAGGTGGCTCAAGATCTTTCCAGGAGGCACTAGTAACAATGTAAAACAACTGGAACTGGAATGTTCAGTCTACACAAGAAATTAGAGCGATACATTATTCTTTAGAGCCTGAATGTCCTGTTGATTGTTAAATAAATTAATAGGTAGGTCGTATTTCACTAGCATCTACCTGATCTTCCTTTGAAGCATCTCCTTCAGACGTCAACATTTAAATCTTATTGGCTTCATCAGTAAAATATCACTTTGCCAAAGTGTAAGCCTTTTGTTTTTGGGAATTTCAAGGGATAACTCATTTATTTTACTGCCAACACCAATGTGTCCACCAGATGAGGCTGTTGTCCCCATTGAGGGTGCATGATCTGAGCTGTAGTGGTAGGACTCCATGTATTTTTTTCTTTTTAAGTTTGGGCAACCAGACTCTGTGAGACTTGTCTGGTTGATCCAAAGACTGAGCCATTACTGGAGTAGAGTGGATCTCAGCAAATGTTCCAACTTTCTTGCCAATTTAGGAATTCTCCCTTTAAACATGCTTCTTTCTTCTATTTAGTTTGGCTTTTCCTTTTTTGTTCCTTGTGACAACTCCTAATCACTGGGAGTCTGGGCTGGTATTCTTGAATTTGAACAGTTCCCCCTTCAGTTATGGCACGTTCGTGACATGGAATAGATGTTTTCCTAACCAACTCAGGTGTAGAGAGAGGCTGGTTCTCTGTCATCCCACAACACATCATCTGCTGGAACTTCTGTTTTGTATTTTTGGGTATGTCTACATTGCAATAAAACACGCGTGGCTAGCCCGTGTCAGCTGACTTGGGCTGCAGGGGTATAAAACTGCAGTATAGACATTCAGGCTGGGTCCCAAAGGCCAGGCTCCAGCCTGAGCTTGCATGTCTACACTGCAGTTTTATAGCCCTGTAGCCTGAGCCCTGCAATCCCATGTCAGCTGACACAGGCCAGCCCTGAGGTTTTTTTATTGCAGTGTGGACTGATCCTTTGTTTTCATTCACTTGTTTGTGTCTTCCTGTCTCCAGTTCCTGTGCCCTTGCTGCTGTCCCATGTAGGGGATGATTCAAAGCCAAATGAGGGCGTTGTTTGTGCTCACTGTCAACATTTACACACTAAATTCACTAACCCCTTGGCTCTTTGTCAGTATCTTGATAACAGGAATGGCCAGGATGACATTTTAAATATCAAAGAAAGTTTGTAAGTAGCCAAAGAGAATCCAAAATGATGATTGCAATTTCCTGTAGGTGTCCCATGAGTTGCCCATCTTTCCAGTTGATAGCATTAGACTGTAGATAAGGAAGGGGATAAAAATAGGTTAAGGCTCTGTCCATACTTGGACCAAGGAACCATACTTAAACTCCGTTTAAACAGCCTTCCAGCTAAATGGGTGTCTAATAGTATAGCCAGCTGGTTGGAAATCTGTTAAGCTAGAACTGCAGTTAAACTGATTTTGAACACTTTATCAAACTTGGTTTGAAATGGAGGGTAAATGGGGCCTAAATTTTGGAATGACAATATTCCTCAAAGCCCTCTTCAGTATATGTAGGAATCATTTGTACATGGTGTAAAACAATTGTGCTTTGGAGACTCTTGCATCAGCAATGTGGGCTGTGTGACAGGGTTGTGTGTGCCCCCTCCCGCCTTAGGGTATAGGGGCAGGGTGTAAGTAGCCCATGTTTATGTCTCTGTGGCCAAAGCCAATATACTTGCCCCTGTTAGCAGGGCAATAAGGCCTAGTGCCAAAGTTCACAGATTCGCCCCTGTCAGCAGGGCAGTAAATCCCAGTGACTAAAGTCAGTAGCTTTGCCCCTGTTAGCTGGGCAGTGGAGCCTAATCACAGTCACCAGGTTCGCCCCAGTCAGCTGGGCAGTAAGGCTTGCTGGCCAAAACCAATGGTTCCGCCCTTGTTAGCAGGGCAATAAGGCCTAGTGGCCAAAGTCAATGGATTCGCCCCCAGTCCGCAGGGCAGTAAGGCCTAGTAGTCAGTCAATAATCTGCCCCGTTAGCAGAGCAGTAAGGGCAAGTGGCCTCAGTCAGTCACGCACAAAAAAGGGGGGTGATGGCGGCCCGGGTAGGGGGAGCCCAGGCCTTCCCTCTCCACCAGGCCCCAGCTCAGGGCTCTGGTAGTGGCAAGAGTGCATGCCACTGAGTCAGCAGGGGGGTTCAACCAAAACATGCTGACTAAAGGTTCCGGTTCTCTAATCAAGCCACTATATAATTCCCCTGGGCTGCTTCCTGCCGTGGTTCCCGCTGCTGCGGCCTGGACATCTCTGCTGTCTCCAGGTTCCCTGGTCTGCGCTGTCCCCGGTGACTCCAGGCTCTGTGAGGCCTCCCTGGGTACCCTGGCATCTGCCTGGGTTGCGGCGTCTCTGGCTCCCACGGCCTTGGGCTTTGGCTGGAGCCTACGGCGTGCGTCCTTCCTCTCCAGCAGTCCACCTCAACTGAGTTGAGCTTCTCCCTTTTATACTAGTGCATTTGGAGCATGCCCAGTAGAGTTGAGGCATGGCTTCCTCATCCCATAATGTAGGGTTAACACTTCCCCATCCAGTATGGGTCGAGTGTGCCCCGACACAGGCTGATTAACAGAGATCCCTTCTTCAAGGGACCAGGAAGCAAAACCAGAAGTGTTTACTCGTCTCCTTTATGATGTATAAATATGGCCTGCTGAAGCATTTTAGACCTTAGTGTTCCTAATCTCTCTTCCCTGGAGGACCTTGGTAAGCCCCTTGCAGGACTGGAATAGTGATGATATACAAGGCTAGTAGGTAGGGATGTGGGAGAGCTACACCTCTGCTATTGGTCTTATGAGACATGGTTCAGCACCTCCAAAAAATTTGCCAGGGTGTTGAGTGAAGAGAACGAAGGGAGGACCCTACATTGCTAATTTTAGAACAAAAAACCAAAAGTGACTTTTGAACTGAACTTCATTGAGAAACAGAAAATGATGGGGAAGTTGGGTTCTGCTTTGCAGCACACCTGGTGATAACGTATGGGCTAGATTCTCCATTCCAACCAAGCTGTGCTCAGAATAGAGAAGTGATGCTGCAGGGAACCACATGTAGTTCCCTCATTAGCAGCTGCTGAGCTCTGTGCTGTGCCCTGGAAAACCCTGACAAGCTTACTTGCCTTACAGTGGTGGGGAGAAGGAATTGCGGGGGGGCTCTTTCGCTGGTTCAGGTTGTGCTAGAGCTATTTCTGCCAGTGGGGAATTCCACCCCACACACAGGGAATTCTGCACTGACCATCTCCAGCCACTTTATGCCTTCCAGCCTTAAAATGGCCTTGATGGACCAGAAAATCTGGTCCCCTATAATCATCTTTACTGTGTATGCATATATAGCATGAACAAGATAGTGTATGCAATTAATGTCTTGTGTGAGAAACTATATGAATCACGTGGTCCCCTCATGGGGAGTTAACTGTCTCTAGACAGTTCATTGGCCACATTTAGCTCTTTTCTTCTCTTTTTAAAGAGAATGTAAATTGTGGGGATGTGCCCTAGTAGCCTGGAGCCAAGATTTTTTTAAAGGTGAGTAGTGATTTTGGGCACCCAATCTGACGCCCTCAGAAGGTGGGTGCTGAGCATTTTCTGAAAATCAGGCTCCTTTAATGGGTCTCAAGTTGGTCACCCAAAACCACAGTCACTTAGCAGTGTCTGAAGTGCTGCTGTCCTAGGCCAAATCCTTTTTCCTAAAAGCAAATAAGAATCATCCCTCTGGGACTTGAAAAGTAACTTTGCAGTTTGTTTGAAAAAAGGAGGCTCTGCTGTATTAGCAATGACATGTATCCACCTGGTAAGGGTGGATCACTTTGCTAACCCCACTTTAAGGGGTGCCTTACAACCAACTGAGAGCAAAGCAGTGATGCCCACTGCTAAGCTATCTGTTTATTTTAATGGAAAAGGTGCTTTAAAAGTGCCAGGTGCTTTAAAAATAAATAAATCCAACATACCCACATGGCACTGCTGCAGTGTCTTGCTGGTATCCCCGTGGAACAGCTCTTGGATTTAAAACATAGACTACGCTGGAAATGCCTTTGACATATCTGTGATATAGCAAATGTCTGCATGTCTAAAGCTGGCAGCTCACTTAAAGGTGCCTTATCTGTTTGTATTTTTGTGATGTAGGTCGCTTGCACAAATCTAGATGTGGATCTGATATGCATAAATGTAACAGAAAAGCTGCCATTCTACTTCCGAAGACCCCCTGTTAACATGGTAAATTTGCAACTAAATCATTTGCTGCTATTAAACTCAGTATATAATACTAACACAACTGAGGTTTTCCACCGGAGTGGTTTTTTTCTTGCTCTTGTACTACAGGGTGGTTTTTCTTTGAAGATGTGTTCTCTCCTTACTTTTCTACACTATGACTATCCTGAGGTCTCATCTGTGTAAGGCAGTGCTTCATTAAATGAAGTCAGTGCCAGCCAATGGAATTGCTGAATATTTGATATTGGATAAAAGTTAGAGTAAAAACAAAGCATCAGCCATTTATAAACTATCTTTTATAAATAAAATCCTGCCCACACAACTTAGTCTGGATACTTAGGTCAGATTCTTTCCTTGAATATGGACCAGCATCCGCTCCTTGTCAGTAGTAGTTACTCATGGGTGGACATCCATGGGTAGATTTTAGTCCTTGTTGTTGAAAAATGTACAGCTAGAGCTGGCTGGAAACGTGAATTCCTGTTCCATAGGAATAACAACAAAAAATTGTTCTGATATGGAATGAAAAATGAAATTTCTAAATTTCTCACAGAACAGAAATTTCAGCATCTTGTTTCAGATTTTTTTTCCCCCAAACAACATTTTTGTTTTGACCTCTCAAAATGTTTCTGAGGCTCCCAGAGCGCCAGCAGTTCTCCATGTGGGGAGTTGGGCAGCACAGGGACCCTGAGGGTATGTCTACACACCAATATAAGCCTGGGCTCAAGCCTAATCTCCCCTTGCGTCCACACACCAAATGTGTTAACCTAGGTCTCAAACCTAGTACCCCAGGACCCTGCAGGACTGGAGTGTCCAAGCACATGTTAAGCTGGGACCTAGGGTCTGAGCCCTATTGGTTTCCTATGTGCACGCAACTCCAACTTGACTCAGATCCCAGAAGGCCTCTGGATGTATCCCAGAGTTCCCTGGGGCAGCTTCTTTAGTCCTCTCTATGCCAACAATCTGTGGTGCAGTCTGTTGCACTCTGTTGCAAATGGAGTACAGTGGAGCACACTGTACCCCAAGCCCTAGGGATGCACTTCACCACTCTGCAGCCAGCAGCAGCCAGCTGTTGGGGGTGGGAGTGTTTTTCCTCTGAAATCTACATTTTATGTCAAACTTCAAAACAGACAAAAATAAATAAAAAAAAAACCAAACAAACAAACACCTTTGCTGAACATCCAATTTTAAAAATTAAGAATTGCAATGTTTCATTTCAATAGTTTGAAAGCCCTGAACACTGATGTCCTAAGTATCTTGAGAACGGGTGCACAAGGGCATTTCCCGCCAATGTGACTCAGCCTAGAGGTAGAGAGCCCAATTCTCAGATTAGATGGTAGTTCAGTATAAAGCCTCCTCAAACTGCAGTCATTGTCCTCAGATAGCCACCAAAGGAGCTAGTTATGAAGTTTATGTACTTGTGGGCTTCTTATGGGCACCTGAGTCGCATCAATGGCACCACCCCAGTGTGGAAACAGGGTGGGCAGTCGCGTTTTTCCACAGTGCATCACATTCCTAGGCCTAGAGTGTTGACATTGCGGGGGGGAGAAGTGGCGCTAGGCACTCTGGGATAGGGTTACTTTGACTCAGGTCTGTGCACTGCAGTGTGGATGCCAGAGCCCTAGGTTCAAGCATGGGTCAGAAAATCCTTAACCTAGGGTTAAAATGTAGTGTAGAGACACAAGCACAGGGTTCCCTGACATGGGTCAGCTGATTCGAGTCCCACTAACCCGAGGCTTACATTGTTGTGTAGACATACCCTGAGAGCCCCAGCTCTGGCACAGTCCATCTGGTGGGCTGCTGAGGACTGGGGCAGGCAAGCTGGCAGGAAGTCAGTCAGGTTTCTTACTGAAACCTGTTTGGCAGGCAGGTTTCCCTGGTTCTGACCAGCGCTAGTGATGATGTTTGATAAATCTCATGCTCGGGTGTATGTGGAGGACAGGCACAGCAGCTAATTGGACAAATGAAATAAGAAGGTTCTCTTTCGTGTACTGCAACAACTTGCTATAAAGCTCCATACTGCTAGTGTGAGATAGTGTTCTGCAGTGAGCTGACTACAGAGCCAGGAGCTTATCTGCAAAAGTGAGAATATCTGTTTCACAGAGGGGCTGTGAGGGTGGGTTAATGCTCTTTTGTTCTGTGTTTGTACAGCACCTAGCATAATGAAGTCCTGGTCCATGGCTGGGCTCCTAGGCACTACCACAACGGAAATAATAAATAATAACAAACTGTACTACAATCTACTTTCCTTCAAAAATTGTCAATTTAATTTAATTAACTTCACTCTTCTCCCAGAATAACTTCTCTATTAGTCAGTACTTCAGTACTATGGTGATGGGTGCTAGGGAGAACCCTCAACTTTGGAAAGTGATACTCTTCAGGGCCAGCTGTGAAGCTGCAGAAGGAGTGTTATGTCGATTTTTACAGTGCCTATCTGTTCATGAAATGCTCCAGTGATTAACCAGCTCTTCAGAGTTTGGCGCCATGATTGGCCTTCTGAAGAGAGGAAACTTCCCACTGTTCTCTTTCTCTCACGCTTTGAGACTTCCACACTTGCAGCTGAACAACTGTGTTTGTCTCTCATCTGAAAGCCTATTACAGCCTGGCAAGTAGAGAGGAAGAGAAGGCTTTCTTTCTTTATTTATTTTTATTATAAGCCTCAGTTACCTGACAGTCTTAAGTTCAAGTGCATTTACATGGCATACAGACACAATGTCTTTATTTTCACCCTTCAGACTACGGTGTGTTTCTGTTGGAACACTTCCTGCCACACGTTAGTTTTGTACATAAAGCGGTAGAACTGAGCGAAGAAGTAATCAATAATAGACACTCGTTGTAAGATTGGTATGCGACTGCTTTTGGTTTTTGATTATTTTCTTTCTTTCATGTGAAGGCAATAGATCGTGGTGTTTACTTTGAACTTCTTTACACCCCTGCCATCAAAGACTCCACAATGAGAAGATACACAATTTCAAATGCTCTGAGTCTGATGCAGATCTGCAAAGGAAAGGTGAGCTCTCAAACCGAAATACAATTCATTCAGTCAGTTGTTGAGATTCTTCTGGAGTTGCATCGGCTGAGCAGTTTCAAGAAGGTTTGATGCTGGAATTTCTGAACACATGACTGAGCCTTTGCCTGCCAATACGTGCAAACCATAATTCCAACTACAAATACCCTTGGCTGTGGAACAGCTAATATTTTCTAAGGCCGATGCTTTTAAAATGGTCGAGATTTTTTTCAGAGCAACCTGTCAGTTACTGCAGCTGTAATACTGGGGTGATGCAGGGCATTCACAAAAAACAGTCCTGGAGACTTAAGATTTGCACAAAAATAGATGTTTGTGCATATTGTTAAAGATATGTAGTGAATTTCTAATTGACAAAAAGCACATCTTGTAGATCTAGGCATCTGTACATATGTTAAACTATTGTATCATACCATATCATATCTTACAAAATACTTTAAATACAGGATCTTGCATGTATTTAAAAACAGTTAAGTGAAAACATCACTAAACTCCTGTCAAGGCTCCTTCCCCACTCTGAACTTTAGGGTACAGATGTGGGGGCCTGCATGAAAACTTCTAAGCT